GGAACTAAACAAATCTTATTCAGTGAAAGTCTTACCGGGGTCCGATGTGGATTGTTCTCTTCTGTTTGGGTCATTCCTAAACCATTGTAGCCCAAAAAATCAGTATAAAATAGATGAGAATCGGCAATTTCCGAAATAAATTATGCATCTACGAAATTTTGAACAAATATTTAAAGAACTATACTGACCATGTAATTAACCCAAAAAAAGAAGCAAAAAACACATACCCTGAGGATATTCGTTCTTGAAAGAGCTTTCGGCCATGGTGAAACGCACGCTACAGTTCTCTGCCAATTTTCAAACAAGGAGACATCAAAACCACATACGAAATTTTGTTTCCTATAAATTAACCCACAACATCAAAGGCGAGGAAAAAGTTGTTGGTGGAAGTATTTCGCGAAAACATAACACACCAAAGATCGATTCGATTAGGGTTTCGGTAGTTGTGAACTGGGAAAACAACAAAGGATCAAAATCAATGAAAGGGAGAGAGAATTATATATACAAATACGATAGATTAATTTTACGGGTTTAATCTCGTGAACAGACCTGTTGGATCGTCTGGATCGTTTCCGATTCCAAGTTTTCAACACGACAGGAATAAGTCTCTGTTTATATCTCCTTTTTAGTCGGCAACTCTTTTTGCGTCCGGTTCACAATAGAACAGTTTTTTTGTTTTTTCTCTCTCTTATTTATTTAGTATTTACATTCACAAATATTACTTCTTTGTCAAATCACAAAAAATTAGGGGTGGGCAACCATGAGATGTGGTGTGGTGATAGCTCACCTCATTCCTTAACCATGAGGTTGGGGCTTCGATCCCCGCCCATGGGAATGGAGCGCATTTTGTGGCCAGCCGTTTACATCCATTGGGAGAGCTTCCGCGGCGAAAGGGATTAGTCACTACTGTCGGCGGTGGATACCCTTGGGTCTCACATAAAAAAAAAAAATTAGGGGTGGGCATAAAAACCGATAAACCAAACAAATTGACCGAACCAAATCAAATCAAACCGAAAAATAAGGTTTTTTTGACCAAACTGAAAAAGTCAACGCTGGACTTGAACCGAACTGTTGACTTCGGTTCAGGCTTTGAGTCTAAATTTTTTTGAACCTTTGGACCTGACCTGAATCGACTATCATTTAATTATAGGACTAACGTCATTTTAGTCCCTGGAGGTTTTGTTTGTGCCTGATAAACCACGGCCATGAGCTGGCCGAGGGAGCCCTTTCTCTCGGCCCGGGCACTTGTTCGCAGAGGCTGAAACGCAGCGTTTCGCCAGGGTATTTCGCCTTCCTAAAAATAAAAGAGGAAATGCTAAGGCATGATCATCTCGACCTCAAGCATAGGCCAAGGCCGAGGCCGAACAAAATTGCGGTCAAGGCATTAAAGGCAAAATCATCACGTGACAGCAGGGTCCCAGGCTTCATTTAATGAAGTACTGCCTGTTTAATGCAGCAAACCCATTGGCCACAAAGCAGCATTTAATGCACGAGGGAAGGTGGGAAGTGACTGAAGTCAGG